ACAATATATGACAGCTGTCATATATTGTGACCATGTATAATAACAACAGTCAAGAGTTTTTGATTTTTTCTTCGTATGTCTTCAGCCTTTGGCTTACACTGTTGGCGTATCATAATCTTCTTTGTGGCCATGTTCGGCCAATTTCTGCTGTAGAAACACAACAGCGCCCACTCTGGTCACAATATATGATAGTCACAAAATCTGGTGTAACACCTGACATACAAAAATGCTTGTAGCTCAAAAACTCTTCAACATAAAACTTCAGATTTCTAATTTTTTGTTGTTATTTAACCCTGATGAAGGGCGATCATTTCATGACATCATCATGTGTTTCTATGCAGCTGCCTCCCAGCAGCTGGCAAAGGAATCAAACCACATGACTGAAAACAGTTTTTCTCAAGCCTGAACATCTATAAATATGATCAGATCGTGATGAAATCTGGCACAGATGTTGTCCTATCTGACCTACACCGACTGTCAGTCCAACAGCTCCATGTTCATTACCTCCACTGTAAAGCCTCTACAGAACAATTTCCTACAYACRGTGGGGTGTGAAAGTTTGGGCACCCTTGTTAATTTTTCTGATTTACCTTTATAAATCATTGATTGTTTGGATAAAAAAATATCAGTTCAATATATCATATAGGGGACAAACACAGTGATATTTGAGAGGTGAAATGAAGTTGATATGGTTTACAGAAAATGTGCAATAATTGGTTAAACAAAATTAAGCAGGTGCATCAATTTGGGCACCATAAAAAAACCTTAACTCAATATTTAGTAGATCCTCCTTTCACAGAAATAACAGCCTCTAAACACTTCCTGCAGCTTCTAATGAGAGTCTGCATTGTGGCTGAAGGTATTTTAGACCATTCTTCTTTACAAAACATCTCTAGTTCATTCAGGTTTGATGGTTTCTGAGAATGGACAGCTGTCTTTAAGTGACACCACAGATTTTTAATAATATTCAGGTCTGGGGACTGAGATGGTCATTCCAGAACGTTCTACTTGTTCCTCTGCATGAAGGCCTCAGTAGATTTTGAGCAGTGTTTAGGGTGGTTGTCTTGTTGGAAGATGCAGCCCCGGCTTCAGCAGCTTCAGCTTTGTCACTGATTCCTGGGCATTGGTCTCCAGAATCAGCTGATGTTGGTTGGAATCCATGCATCCATCAACTTGAACAAGATTCCCAG